TAACCTGTAAATATTAAGCACTCTCCCACCTCTCCTAATAAAGCAAAGAAAAAAACTGTTTTCCCCAGCACTGTATACAGAAACTCACCCAAACACTTGTGTAGCTTCACTAAGAAAGTTGCTTCATACACATTTCTCTCAGTCCATATTGATATCAGCCTTTCAAGACCACGTATAGCTTCCACTGATCCGCCCCTGGATTATAAAACAATTAACAGCTACATTGAATCGAAGGAACTTTGTATTTGCACAAATTCAAACAAACAACCAAAATATTTAGGTGTATCAAAAACTGAATTCAAAACTTCATCAATCTGGATCACAGTATTACTCCATTGGACATACAGGAGGATTTAACCTTTTAACTCCCGAGATATCATTAGTAATTCCCCTTACTATCTGTCATACAGTTCTTGTGATGTTAGTTTGGAGAATTTGGTATTGGATCAACTTATAATCCCCTAATTGATATTTTTCTTAATTCTTATCACTTGTCTGCTTGATATTGTATTGATATTTAAAGGAGAAATTCTGTCTTGGTCACTCATGGGAGTTAAAGGTTTAAGGGGTACATGTAAAAAACAAAGAGACCTTTTCTGGTTGCTAGTACAACTTAAATTATTTTAAGAATGCAGATAATTACTTACTGTGCACAATGCTGAAACGCAGCTGATAAGACATGTTTAAATTCATTTAAAAACTCTGTGCCTTTCCTTTTTCCATTTTGGAGTACATCATTAGCCAGGAACATGAAGGTAAGCTTTTTGCTTGTCCTTGCTGCAAATAAACATGGAGAATGTTAAAGCTTACAAGATAATTAACAAAACTGAACATAAAGGGTTTCTTGTCATTTGTACACAACACAGTTAGTGGGAAAATGTGAAATGAACAAATCAATTGGCCTGATGAGCTTCAAGGAGGTGAGCTATTAAGGTCCCTTCTATGTTTTGGTATCTACAGGAATAGAAATTTACTTACTGGATACTCTGCACTTGATAAAATCTGAGTATTTTAATATGGATTCATTGTAACTCTTTTAAAAAATGCCCTTATGGCTTTAACCATTGTTGTTAATCAATTGCTATTAAATTGCATTAAATAGATAAATAAGTCATAAGTTAAACAAAATATTAAAAAAGATCATGCATCAGTTTTCTGATAGATATCACTGGATGACAAGAGTCCGCCAAAATAAACTTAGAATTAGGCAAATCAAATAAAAATATAACACATATTTCCTCCAAATCTTTTCATTAATAATCAATTAGGAGTTGAGGAAAGTGAGTTAGCTGCATGGGAAATCTTAAAAGCTATTTGACATATATTCAGCAAAAGCTATAAGCATCTGAGTCGATCGCCTTAGCATAAGATAATGAAAATGCCAAGAATGTGCACCACGTTATAATTAGATCGTTCAACCCCTCTAATGCAGAACAGAACTTGATTAGAGACCTTTGCCTCATTCGTAAATATGGTATGGCAACGCACGCCACATGTAACATATATATGAGATATGTGAAAGGCATGTTGAAGTGATTCTTTCGCACCAGCTGAGCAAATGCAATGAAAATCTGTCAATGGAGATCAGTTTCTCCACAACCCACAACAAGTTCAAACAATTACTCTATGCACGGTTTTACTCACCTTTCGTCAGTTCTTTGTACCAGGACTGTACGATCGCTTTAGCGTGTTTTCTGTGGTGAATAAGCCACAGCGAAAGCGTCTGGACACTGTGTTGAGTGTTGGAAAGATCAGATAATTTCTTCTCCAAAGTTGCTGATGAAAAAGACGTCATTTTCACGGAAATTCGTGACACCAGCGAAATAAAAACAGTAAAACACACTTCAATCCCAAAGTCCTGTTTGAGTGAAACCTGGATATGAGTTTGCCTCGAGTTGGAGCTGAAGCCGCTGATATGGGTACCGCAGAAGAACTTGGATTGAGGACATAATATGTGCCCATACATGACGTACCTACAATATTAACGTTCTTTCTCTGCTAACCGCTGATTCATGAGACTGTAGACTCAACCTTGATGCCAACATGGCGGATAACGCCGTCTACCGAGCGTTGAGGCTGTATGTTCTTTTCTTTACTGATGGCTCTTCCGATGTCTGTTCTCTGTATCTATGCGCTACTAATTTCTCCCAGTTGCCTTAATTTCCATTTTTTCCTTTTTCTTCAGCCACATCGCGCCTGACAAGTTTTATATCGAGCCGAGGGACCAGCAATCAGTTGGTGATCAAATACTCGAAATAGACCGTGTTACACAAGAGTTAAGTCTAGCAGGTAAAAATTGTGTCTAATTAGATTTTCAAAGGGTCACTTCACAGGCAGTTGTATGACAATCATCGTCTTAAATTTAAGGCGTGTTTTTGATTAGTGAAAATGATTTCGTTCTAACCGAGTAATAACTTTCATTAAGCATTACCTTATTAAGAAACAGTCATTATCACGACGTGATTCTTCTTTGTTTACCTTCTCGCAGACCTTGGAAAGAACATTTTAACCTATCAGTCGTTACGATTCGTTGATTTTTGTGTGAAATTAAAGATCGGTTTTTTGTTAAATTATCAAATTTTGTTAGTGTTACTTTAAAGCGTATCGTGGGAGTTTTAACGAGGTTATCAGATGCTGGCGTAAATAGACTATAAAAAAGCTACAAAGTCCAAGTATTTCGCCAAGTTTTATCTGAGTGCGTCCTTAAACATGTCAGATTCTTCTAAAATTATATGTTATATAGTTTAACATTTGAGACATTGTACCTCCCGATATCTGCTGAAACGTAAACATTGTTGTCTTTACATATAAACTAGAGCATGTACTGAATGAAAAAGGTAAGATTTTTGCACAGCCCCAGACTTCACTATGAAAACAGTTCTGGGAAAAAAAATTTGGGAAAGCAAAAGATTGCCTTTTGGACTACAGCTTTGTTTTACAACAGCATCGGGTGTGCGGAAATCTTACCTTGAAAAAAATTGAGATCACCCCATTAATGTCGTGTATTCAAAAATCCATTTTCTTCCATCACATTGTTAGGTAACAATATTAATACTTGTTATTCACAGGCCAACATGTTGACTAAAAATATTCTGCTATGAGTTCAGTTTTCTTAGATGTCATTCTGTTTGTAGAAACAGGTAGTAATTTGTGATTTTTATCATCCCCATCATAGACAATGAGGGTCAAATCCCACCATCAGCTGAGAGTAGAGATATATTTGGAATTTTGGGAATCATAAATTTGTTGGCAGGTAACTTTGAAACTAATTGCAGCAGTACTTGATGTAATTCTTTGTTGTTAGCCTGGAATTGTTTTTGATAATAAGTATGAGACTTGTACACTTGAAGAGTATGGGAAATACAGTGTATATCTACATGTATATTCTTTATTCTACAACTTTGAAATTATATTCGTACTCTTTCTTGAAGGCTTGTCTATAGCATGTTATGTAAGAGGTAAGATACTTGCAATCCCAGCTCAACTCTTTTATTCAATGAAGGGAACCTTCCTGTTGGTATCTGGGATGCTCAACCATATAATGAGCAATTAATGGATAAGGTGGGGCACGATATTACAAATTATCAATGGCAAGGTCTGAGTTATGGGTGGAAGCCAAAGGCTGAGGTGGGTAGCACATACATGAGGTTTGTGAATTTATAATATCATGTGGAAACCAAATTCAATAACTGTTTTATTTTACATTTTTGAACAATCTGCAAAAGATGACACTACTCTTTAAGTTTGCAAAAGTTTGAGAAAACTCTATGGATGAGGGGCTTACAAACTGGGAAGACCTTGAATTAGACATGATGAGCCAGATATTGGGTTATCGTGTCAACTTCACATGCTATTGTATATTGATTGTATGCTCTCAACCAATCTCTCTCTCATTGTGAGTCTAATGTTTAATAACAATCATTAAACTTGCCACAGTATTTTTTCCTAAGTTACTTTACATGTCAACTACTATTTTCTCATAGGACCATACTTGGTTGTAGTCACTAAGAAGACTCTTGTAGGTCATGTCAGGGGTCATGAAGTATGGGTGATCAAAGGAACAGATATTCTGGCTTTTCCAAGAGCAACATTGCATCTCACAGAGAGTCAGGTACATGGAGATGGGTTTTGACTGAATTATTCCTATTTGTGAAATTATATAAGTACTGATGATGATGATAGTAATAATAAGTATAATAACAAAAATAACAATGATGAAAAAAAATTCCTCTCATCAATTTGACAGCAACGGAACAACAATATCTACTTATCAATGGTGCAGTCAGTTCTTCAGACCAGCAGCTTTTACTTCTCTTGTACATATGATCTAACACACACTCTGCAACGCCTCTCAAGAACCAGCCCAGACTTCCTTCAGATGCCTCTCTTTGAAAGGGTATGAGCACATTAAAAGTCACATTCATTATAAATATAGCAATAAGATAAGAGGAATATAAAGGTGGGCTGAACTGCAGATCAAGAGGTCTGGGTGGAGCTTTAACCCTTTAACTCCCATGAGTGACCAAGACAGAATATCTCCTTACAATATAAATTCATTATCAACGGGATAAGTGATGAGAATAAAGGAAAATATCAATTTGGGGATAATTAGTTGATTCAATACTTAATTCTCTGAACTAACATTATAAGAATTGTATACTTGACAGTAATGAGAATGACAAATTTGGTCTGGGAGTTAAAGGTTAAGCAGTTATTGTGATTGTTCTTGAGTAGGACACTTCACTTCTCAGTACCCCTCCCTACCCACAAGGTTGTGATTACTGGTAGGAACACAGCAGAAACCTTCTGTTGTTAGACCATCTCTAGGTGTCTACTCTGTGAATTGTGATAAAAGACAGAAATGAGTAATTTTGAACTGATTCTAGCATCAATGTCTGGCTGAAAAAAGCTACTCAAGTGTATTCCAGAATGCTAGAATTCATGTCTCAAAGAATCCAAAATTTTCAAATTTTGCAGAAGGTGCATGCACCTAGACCCCCCATACAAGAGAATTTTTCTTTGCATCATGTCATGCTGCTATGTAAGCATAATTCAGTTCATCTGCTTACTCAGTTCAGATCACACTTCTGTTGTATTTCCTTAAGACAACCCTGCACCAGGAGTATAAATGAGAAATTAATTACAAAGTATAAGGAAAACTGACAAATAGCAGGGAGGTTAGTCAAGATGACATACTCCCAGTAACTTACTGGATTAGAAACAACCAACCTAATGCCCACTAGAGAACATCCTAATTCCATTTTCACTGATGAAAATTTTCCCAATTTTTCCCATCAGGCTGATCCTCGATTTGTATGGAATGGTCACCTTCTAAGACCTTTAGTTGTGCAACCAGAGGTAACTGTCTCTCAAATACTACTTGAGTGTTATTTAAATTGTTAATGATGATGAGGCATTTATACAGTGCATTCTCCATATCAAAATTATTTTATCACTTTGTGGGAGACTTTGGCCAGACAGCATCAAGAAGTTTACAATTTATAGATGAAATTTTTACAGGTTTTCCCCAATTTAGGAATTTTCGGAAATAAGGCCAGACCAAAACAGTGGGAGTTACATTCCCAGGACTACTCCACATGATTATAACATCTTGTTGTTAAAGAGAGGAATGATTTTTGATCATCTGAGGTTGACTGAATGAATAGTACTTAATTTATACTAACCAACTGACTCTCAACCAGAATCAGAATACCAGTAATCATTTCTTACTTCCTTGATTCACTGATTGATTTTCAAATGGTCCAACACATGCATAATACATCTTTTTGTTGTCTTGATCTTCTCTTACAGCTTTACAAATTTATACTTCCAGTTATGCATGGCTGTATCCTTTTTTAAAATAAAATGCTATGTACAACTGTACTTGTTAGTCTTGCATTTCTCTCTGTTATTAAAGAAATCTTTCTCCTTTCAGTTCCAGCAACATGTAGAAATTGACCATCAAATGTTCCAAGAGCTAATTTCAATCATGAATCCTATGTATGAATATTTCACTGGAAGCTCCTGGCCAGTTTTTCTTCTGTTCATCGTCTTGTCCATGCTTATTCAAGGCCATTTTCTCATCAGTCTCATCTCCAAAGCTGGTTGGGAGGCTGTTTTAGTTAACCCTTTCACCCTCAATATCTTGACAAAAATTCACGTTAATACGTCTGTCTGTCTGCCATATATTTCATATAAATTTTGTTGTGAGAATTTGGTGTTGGATCAAGTGATATTTCCCCTTCTTACTGATAATGTTTTTCCTATTCTCATGCCTTGGCTGAGTCATATTGTATTGATACTGTATGGAGAAATTCTGTCTTGGTCACTCCAGGATTCAAACCAGTTCTCTATAAACTGTAACCCCAAAAACCTTTTCACTCAAAATTTGAGAGTTGGTACTTTCAGAGTAGCGTAATGTCTTATTCCAGCCCTACTGATTGTAGCATTCTGTAGCAATCACATTTAAGTTTTCTACTAAATGATGGTTCTTGAAATCTGCTCTTTTTCAAAAGTTTTCTTTTCAGCCTCAGCATTAGTCAGAACATACCAACTAGACCTGACAATGTAATGATACTACTCCTCCTTTTGAGGTTTTCTTTCATTAAAAATGGAAAACAAACAAATGATCAATTCTATTTCTCTGAGCAACTCTAATTCACAACAAAGTTTTCTTGGTCTATTTGTCAGTCTGGCTTGTTAGTAACATGGTAACTGTCTTCAGCCTGACTGTTGATTCACTGAAAATCTGAATATCAATTGTTTCCCTTAACACTGCTAAGTCATCTCCATCAATTCCTGTGTTATTAAGCAGAACACATTTGATTTCATCCTTATATCAAGAAGAAGTTGTTTCAGGGCAGGTATGTGTGAGTTTGTTTTTGTAATTTTGGTAACATCCTTGGGCCAGATATATGGTAGAGGGGCAATTTTCTAAAGAAACTGTGGTGCTGCGTTGGTGGGAGAGTATAACAGGGTAATTTAGTATTATCAACTAAGTTGATAAGAAAAATTGACCACCATAAAGAGTTTTTTAAAGCTGATGTTTCTAGCCCTTTACAAAGCAAATGGGCTAACATGGCTCCATTTGCTCTGACAAAGGGCCTAATGCTCAAAACAATGCCCAATCGCTCTGACAAAGGGCTAACGCTCGAAACGTCAGCTTTTTTAACCTTTACAATGTCTAATTTACGTTTTCAACCCAGTTGTTAACACTAAATTACCTGCTAATGCTCAAAACGTCTGACTCAGCTTTAAAACTCTTTATGATGGCCAATTTACATCATCAACTCAGTTGATAATACTAAATTACCCAGATGTCTGGTAAGTTTTGTATAATTGGAGTTCAGTGGGCCAATTATCTTGTCAATACAAAAATTATGATTTATATGATTTCTGTCTCCCGCAGGTACACGTTACTTCATTCGAGGACTTGATGCTGAAGGAAATGCTGCAAATTATGTCGAAACTGAGCAGATTACTCAGTTTGAATCTGGAGCATGTTCTTTTGTACAGGTATGAAAGCATTCAGTCCCCTGTTAGGTGCAGTCAAAGAATTTAAAAAAAACTGTGTCCTCTTTGCTCATGACTGTTATTCTTTGTCATAGACAAGAGGATCTATTCCACTGTTTTGGTCTCAGAGACCCAACCTTAGATACAAACCAGTACCTCTGCTAAATCCATCAGCTGACCATGTAAGTGTTGAAGATCTCCTCTATTATATGTACATCTTGTGCAAACTCTTTTGTGAGGTGGGGCAGAAAAGAGCAGAGGAAAAAAAGATAAAGAATTAGTGATTAAGACCCATAGATAAGAGGTTTGTACCCAGTACACCATTAGCCCTTTTAACTCCTAAAAGTGATTAAAACGCAACTTCTCCCTATAATGTCCATACATTATCCAGCAAATCAGTAATGAGAGTCATCAAACTTTTGAGGTGGAAGGTGCTATCTTGACCTTAAGCCAAATTCTCATAACTAATTTATAAGGTAGAATATGTGTACATGAAGCCACCAGAGGGGAGAATTAACAATGAGATTTTGGGAGTATTAAGGGGTTAAGCCTGCACACAAGCTCTCTTTGGGGGGAGGGGGGTGGGGGCTGTGTATGGGGAAAGAATTAAGAGAGGACATGAGACAAAGCTTGCAATGTTGTCTCATAAGGTTAATTCTGCCCCCAGAAACCCTTGTTGTCTGCCAGAAAGACCACTTGTGGGAGCTTGCAGATTGTTCCTTTACCTTAGCCCTTAACTCCCAGAAGTGATTAGCATGTAACTTCTCCCTGTAATATCCATACATTAAACAGCAAACAGGTATTGAGAACACTCAAACTCATCAGGTACAATTTATCACCTTGATTGAACACCTAATTCTCATAATCAATTTACAAGGAAATGTGTTGCAGTTACATGTAGAGGGGAGAATTGACAGTCAGATCTTGAGAGTTAAAAGGTTGAACAAAATCAAATTAAATGTGTTTGAGAACAATATGTTCAGTTGAGCAAATTTTGTATTGCACAGGATGAGAAGTTGAATGCATCTTCAATAATTTCTTTAATTTATCATTTTGGCAGAGAGGAGGATTTGCTCTCCATCTAGACAAAGAAAGAGTGTACTATGGAGAACATGTTTTAATAAACCTTGTAAGTATTAAATTAATATTAGAATTTCTCTTATTTCAAAAGCATGCAAAGACCACTATGTTGTCTTGGGTGATGTCATTATTATCATGGTGGTTTCACTTTGAAGTGGGTCCTTGTTAATATTCTATAAAAATTATCAAGGTTGAATTGAACTTTTTGTCAGGAAGAAAAGTTGATTTTTAGCAAAATAATTCTCAAGAGAATTTAGATGTCATCACTCTCCTTCTTTTTAACAGATTGATCAGAAAGGCCCAGAGAAGATTTTAGGTGATCGATACACAGAGACTGTCAGTAAGGCAGGGTTAACAGACAACTTCTTGAGGTAAAATGTGGAACATGAAATTAACTTGAGTATTAGAACATTTTTTTGAGTTTTAAAATCTTCTCCAACATGTCAACAAAGTAATTTTAGGATCATCAACTCATTCAACACATCATTCAGCATTTATGTTATCATGTTCTAAAGAAATTGTTGTGGTAAAATTGTAGGCAAGTACAACACTTTGTTCATTCTCAACAAGGCAATACTTGATGAAAATTAGGTAAACGGTGGAAGGGATTGTTGAAAAGCTGATGAGTCAACCATGAGCCTCTGATCAGGGCAAAGGCACCTATGATGGTGGTTCTTTGGACCTCTAAGAGTGACTTGCATCTAATTTCTCCTTACAATATCACCCCTGAATTACACATTAAGGTCATGAGAATGAAGAAAAGGATCACCACCCAAAGAGGCTCTTGATTGTTAAACAAATTCATCTTGTCAGCACCTTGGGAAATTTATACAGATCGGTATTGAGAATATGCATACTGATGTCAGGGTGTAAAGGGTGAAGACAGTGTATTAGACTAGTGTCTTTTCTTTGTTATTACTTTTGAAATTGTAGATATGAGCCATTTGATTTCCATAAAGAGTGCAGTAAGATGAGATGGGAAAGACTGTCCATTCTAACAGACAGATTAAAAGGAGATCAAGAGAAGTTTGGGTATGTCCTCAGTAGCTCTCACTCTATTTAAAAAAGAATTGGTGTGGTATGCATGCACTGTTCTTCTTTTCAGGTGGTAACCAGTAAAATTTACCACCACTAGTATCTCTTTTTACCACCTAAAATCACTTGAAATTCCTAAAATTGAATTAGTAAAAATATTACTCTAAGAGTTTGATAATTTCTTTTACCTGTTGCACTTAAAATAAGAGAGAACACTGGGTATGGAGGCAATAATAATGAAGTACAGGATACATGTGCTGTGTTGCTCACCATTTTTGTGACATGTTTGATCATTTTTATTTTGAAAATACATTTATTTGCAAAGATATTTCTGTCAGTAACTACTGTATTCAAAGGCAGGAGCCATAGCTCTGGCAATCAGAAATATTCAAGTCTGAAAGAGAAGCAGCACTGAGCTGTCTCATACCCCCAGACATGGAACAAGATGTTGGAACAAAAAGTACCATGTGTACTAAACAGTTTACTGAAGAAGTTTTACGTCAGTCCACAGTTGTTCAATTGATGCTTGTTACTAAATTAAATGTTATGTTATGTTCATTACATGTATTGTGATTTTGTTTTATTCCTGTACTAGATTTTTCTCTGTCAGAGGAAAAGATGGTCAAATTGACACTGAACAAAAGGGAGTGTTCAGAACAAATTGCATTGACTCACTTGACAGGTAAATAACCATACCCAAGGTTATATGAATAGAATTCAAATCTCTATTTCTTCCTTCAATTGTTGCAATTGTCATAGAAGTTACAAAATAAATGTAAGGGTTTTAGAGTGATGCTTGCTTCTTATTTTGTTGAAGAACTAATGTTGTTCAGAGCTTGTTCGCACGGAGAAGTCTTCAAGCACAGTGCGAGGTAAAGCCTGTCTCCTCTTTCATACTCACATGTATGTTAGCATTAGAAGTCAATTGATGGCAAGAGTTGTATAAATATTATTTTGTTTATAAATCTGAGCTCCATGACGTCACACTTGGTCAAGTAAAATTGAAAATTCTGTATTAATGGTAAATGTAAAGAAAAATCAATGTTAGTGTTTTCTTTGTGTGAAACTCACGACAGAAATGTGACTTCCATTATAGCGATTTGAAATTCTAAGCCCAGGAGAGAGAATAGAGAGTTACGCAGGAATGGAGAAGGCATTCAAGAATGGTAGGTCAACATTTACAAGGAGTGGGGATAGCTCAGTGATGAGAGTGCTCATCTCCCACTGCTGATGCCTAGTTTCAATTCCTGGCATCATATTTGGGTTGAGTTTGTTCTTGGTTCTTGTCTGTGCTCAAAGGGTTTTCCTCCCTCCACAAAAACTAACATTCTAAATTCCAATTTAACCTGGAAACAGAGGTCAAGAAGAGTGACCTCATGAAATGTCCACTATATTCCGTTTCCCACTTGTACTTTCTGCGCCACTTGGTAATTCTTATGTAAAACTTTACTTGTGTGAAAAAATTCGATGAATGTACACAAGAAGAGAGGCTGGTGACTTTCCTCAAGTATAACACTATAATTATAAAGTTTGTTAACTAGTTTTTGTCATTCTCTCTCTCATTGTTTTGCAAATATTGATTTTGTTACAGTCTGGGCAGACAATGCTGATGCATGCTCTGTGCAGTATGCTGGAACAGGAGCTCTCAAAACAGATTTTACAAGGTATTACTCACAGTGTTAAAACACTTCTCAGTAAGCATGAATTTTCAGCTATGTTAAAACTAATTAAGAAACTTCTCAATCTGTAATATTTGATTATCATAACTAATTTTGGCTCGCTGAAAAATTGGGAACAATTCTGCAGATTGTGGTACTGAGGATACGATTCAGAATACTCTTTACGTTGTTAAAGTTTAAAATGTTTTGTTCCTTCACATTAGCCTGTGAGGGAAAGACATTTGCCACTTCTACTCCCTTCCTCATTCCAAACTCAAACTCATGCCCTTTATGCCTAAGTGGCATGTAGGGCAGCAACATGCTCCCTCAACAACAGATGCATCATGCAAGTTACATGTTGCTGTTTCCATAATAAAAAGCTTTTCACATGACAGGGTTGTTAGCCCTGTGCAAAACCCCTGAGCCTGGAAGACTAAGACTTAATTTCTCTTGAGTGGTCTTTAATTCTTATAAATTGCCAGATAATTCCCTCAAAAGAATGCTGCTACAATGATTTCACTTGATGATTTCATTTTATCAAGGGCATACCACCATATCAAAAAACTTTAGCTTTCATTCCTTGGGGGAAGTGAGTGCAGCAACATCACACCACAAAAAAAAAATGAGGAAAAAAGAAAAAGGAAAGTAATTATTAACCATCCATAGATATAACAAACATTTTGGTTGTTTTCCACAAATTTGTTGAATCAAGGTATTCGATATAACAAACCCTTGATAAAACAAACTAGTTTCCTTAGTCCTTTGGTACACAAATGTTTTAGTGGGAATTCAAGGTGAATGTAACAAGTGCAATGTTAAATAGGTTGTTGTTGACCTAGAGAAGGCTTACCATATGTAATAACTTTGTGTCACACTGTGTATAGAACTGGAAAGCGTTCAACACTTGGAGCCTTAAAGGATGGTTTTAATTCAGCTGTGAGGTATTACAAGAACAACTTTGCTGATGGATTTAGACAAGTGAGTGAAATCAGTTTGCAAATATTTCTTTGGCACAAAGTATGTTGAATTGTGTGTAACTTATTTCTCTTCTTTTATGTTTATGTTTTTGCTTCAAGACTGTTCACAGATGACCTTAACTGTTGATCCTAAAAATGAGTTGCATCTAAATTTTTCCTCACAAGATCACCCCTGAATCAAACATTAACATCATGGGAATAGATTACATATTAAAAGTCTCTTGATTGTTAAGCAAATTCTCATTATCAGCTCTTTAGGAAATGTATAGAGAATAGTCTGGAGAATATGCATACTGATCTTGTATAATGGTGTAAAGGGTTAAGAAATTTGACTTTATATGCTTTTAGGATTCAATTGACTTGTTCCTTGGAAACTATGTGGTAGACTCCAATGAAGGAATCTCCAAACCATCACCTCTTGAAATTCTCAGAGATTGGAGATTTATGGCTGTAAGTTCAGTGTTTCTATTTTTCTTGGTAACCAAAAAAAAGCATTTTCATGATTACGCTTTTTGTGTAGCTCATCCATTTGTTGTTACTGGAATTCTGTTGTTAGTTTTCCTTTTTACCTATGCAGCGACAGCAAGCATCACCATTCAAACTTATAATTAAAACATTTGAGTTCATTCTCTTGTTTAACTAAAATCTTATTTTTCTGCTTCACTCTTTTAGCTCCCAATGATCCTTTTGCTAGGATTCTCCATGTTTGTTATCAGTGTTTTAATTCCGTCAAGTAAGTATGATATACCACATAAATAGTACACTTGTTTTTTGGGGTTTTTTTGTTGCATGTGAGTTTTGTTTCCCTGGCTGCCTTTCAGTCATGGTAGATTTTCTGCGACTTTCATTACTTAACATCACCTGTAGCTACATTTTGTTTGGTTTAAATATCTTAAACAGCTACAAAATTTTAAATAATTGCTCAATTTTAATTCGTGTCTAGGGACATGCAATCAAAGTGAGCAATTATCATTCTCTAATGGTCATTTGTGACTTAAAAGTAGATCATTTCCATGTACCATAATTTTTAGAAATACTATCATAATGATAAATTAGTAACCATACCTGTACATGCTGTGGCCTGCATGGTAGGAGGAAGGAATCACAAGTGTCCACTTCTCCTGGACAGCATGCTAGTCCTTTCCTGGTATTGCAGAAGATTTCCCTTAGTGTTCACCAGTTGGTACCCAGGGAAGCAGTGTGCACAGAGATTAACACAACATAATAAGCCTGGCCAGGGCTTGAAACTCAAACCAAGCCTCCTTGATGCAGAAAATTTCAATTGGGTTTGTTTTATCTCCTGAGTTGATAATGTAAATTGACCAATGCAGAGAGTTTCAAAAAGTTTTATGTTTCAAGGGTTAGCCCTTCATCAGAGCTAATGCAAATACAGAGCCTACTATCAGCCAACTTTGGGGCACACCTTCAACTTTGTGTGAAAGGCATTCCTGTGATGTAATAATTTCTCTCTCCTTTTTCTTGCAGCTGATTATGGAGTACAATTTCTTTATGTGTTGTTCTGGGGTGGTGCTGTGATGATGACACTGTACGTGGTGCTGTATTTCGGCAATGAATATGTTGATCAACCACGCCTGGTGCAAGTTCAAGCAAAGGACAAAAATGTTTGACTAGAATCATCAACAAATTCACCCCTTTATATCTTGGTGTAAATTATATCTAGTTATTGTCAGTGATTAATATCATGGTAAAAATATATGAATTTAAGGATTTATGAATCAAGATAAAATTGGCAATGTACAATTTACATCCTGCAAACTTGGGTAGGTTATGAAGTGTTCTCCAATGATTTTTGGTAGCCATTTATTACAAAAACATTGGCTAGTAAAGGTTTAAAATTAAGATATTGGACAAAATAAGGCAGGGTAAGAGTTTATCCAAATCTCACCTCAAGGCTGTCAAGCAAGAGAAATTGAACATCAATTTCTTTAAGCTTCCTTTGACTAATTAAATATGCACATATTTTTTGAGTTATATCACAAAATGTGAACAGTGTTACAATGATTTTGTTTAATGCCTAGTAAACAAGCTATGACAGGCTGCTGTATTTGCAGGGAACACCATCTAATCATATTAAAATTCCAAACATTGAACAGAAGGCTGTGATTGTTCTCCTGACTTGAGCCCTAAAACTCTTTATTGTAGGAGCTGTGCTATCTTAGCTTGCTAGTAGAATATTTAGGGCCATCATTGGTCTCCTGTAATCTTTTAAGAAAATCAACATTTTGTTATTTTCTGTATGATAATATTGTTATCAGTTACACTTGCACAATGAAAGACCAGTGTTACCATATTGGCATGATGGGAGCCAAAAGAACTAAGTGTTTATTTGATTAATTAGGTACTTACATCATGTAGTAAAGATATTAAGTACCATTGGTATATATTATTTGCCAGAAATTAATACTATAGTCATCTTTATGAAGAGACAAGAGACCATAATCACATCTAGTATCAAAAAGTTCCAATACATAAAGTTGAATATCTACAAAGTTCATAATGAAGGGAAAATCAAGAGCTCCATGATTTTCCCTTTAAACCTTTTCACTCCCAATATCTAGGGCAGATTCTCTTTACTGGTAGCCACACATTTCTTTATTGGTTGTTAGTGAGAATTTTAATATATATCAAGACAATGTTCCAATGAGATGATTTTCTTAATTCTCTTTTGCTGTTTGTTTGAAAGTGGGTGAAAATGTTGTAGAGAATGTATGAAATGATCCCACCTTGAGATGAAAGGGTTGTCATTGCTTCTTGGTGCTACCATCAGTTCATCAGAAATATCTCGCATTTGAAACTTGTTCATGCACAGTGACACAGTTTTAATATTTTAATAATTTTAAAATTATTTAAGGAAAGACAATTTTAATGGAGATACAAGAAATAAAGAGGTTGACATTGTTCATTTCATTTGTAAAGGTATTCTGCTGTCATAAGATTTTGCGCAATTTTGACAAAGAAACAGGAAGTGGGTGTGGTGCTGTAGTGATAGTGTGCTCTGCTCCCATTGCTGCAGCTCAGGTTTCATTCCCAGACTTTGTGCCACATGTGGATTGAGTTTGTCAAGGGTTCTTGTCTTTGCTCCGAGGGTTTGTTCTCCAGGTTCTTTGGTTTTCCTCTCCACAAAAACCAACACTCTAATTTCCAATTCTTTTTGGAAACACTGGACAACAAGAGCCACCTCATGGAATATCCATTGGTACAAAAATTACTATTTGACCTTTCCCATTGTTAATCTCCACTTTCATTGTTTTAAAACTATTTTCCCGTCATAAGTCACCTGGCTCTATTTTTACAAGTCTCCTCCAACAATAGAAGGAACTAAAAACTCCAAATAAAAAAAGTGCATTTCCTCAAATAAGTGCCCAGGCTTTTATTTAAAATTTTGGCTAAAAGGGAGGGTGCTCATTGGAAGGAGGGCATTTATTCAAGGAGGGTACTTATTAAATTAGCACCGCAAGAGGAAAAAAAAGACAACTCACATTAAGGAACTCTTAAATAACATGATGATAGAAAGAACTGGAAGTGACTTAACATAAAAGAAATTATTCTCTTTTACTGATTCCCGCTGTAGTTGTAGCTTAAAAGTTATTAAGTGGTAAGGAAAACAGGTTTTCTGTGTGTCCTTGCTATTTAAAAAAATTGAGGGGGTGTGGTTCTTTTTTGACATTATGGCAGAGGGGTGAGCACTTATTAGAGTGTGGGCACTTATTCATGGAAATACAGACTACCAGTATGTGAATTATATTAATAAAGCTAATTTGAAATTTCTTAATATTTGACATAGCATTCTACTTGACTGTCACAACATGCACGGCTTGTCTAGTCAAGACAAAAATCCTATTATTAGATGCTTGGAGCCCAAGGATTTCATTGTCAGGAGTTGTCAATGTTACAACTTGTTGATTGGCATGTTTAGCACTCCCTACAGGTTGTTGGTAAACATAAACATGTCTTGTGTTGTCACATATCACAGCATAGGACAGATCTGGGGCACATGTGGAGAACTTGCGATCCCTTTTAGCAGCCTGGACATAACCTAAAGCATTAAATGTTCCGGTGTGAATCCAGTTAGCCTCACTGTCTGAGTGTGCCTTGGGCTGCCACACAAGGGCATCAACATCATGACGTATGCAGAAGGCAGGAGGAAGACTCTTATCAAGTGATGCATTGAAGATCCACTGATGACTTGCTAAACAAACCTGACAAGAAAAGAAGATTTGTCAGACATGTGCATCACCCATTACCATAGATTCAAAGTAAACAGCCATGAACTTGAATGACCTTATCAAGGGAATTGGGTGGGCTCACAATCTAGACCACAAATAGATTACCTAGTTTAAAAGGGTTTTTAAAGAGCCTTTAGTGCTGCACCCAGGGTATTAAAAGATAATTAGGATTTATAAACTGAGTTGATAAATATAAATAGGCCACTGTGAAGAGTTTCTAAAGCTTGTGTTAGCACCCGCACACCATAAGCCCTTGATCAGAGCTTTCTAGTTTATTCTGAAGAAACATATTGCTTCATGGTAAAAGTGAAGCTGAGAGGAATTTCTCAAGATGTCCATTTTTGTCACTTGCTCTACACATAACCTTTGTGAGTCGGTAAAGAGTTCTGGAGGAGCTTACATCAAGTGGTTTGCAAATCATTTATTAGATGATCTGATAGAAGGAGCCCTGTTAAAAAAAAAAATAACTACCAATACATACCTTGTGTGTTAATTCTCCAGTTTTAACATCCAACCGAAAAATATATTCAATATCCTCTGGGAAAGCATCACATTCTTCAAATTCGTCATTACTAAATGACATCTTAGTTGCCCGTGACTTTTCCACCTGGATTTCAAATATTGATTGAAAAATTCAACATGATATCAATACTTTTGATGTTCACAATAAATTTTTTCTGCTAAAAATTGCTACATGAGATGAACTTAGCAACATAGGGATGTAAAACTGATTTTTTCCAAAATAATTGGC